TTAGATACTACATGCATTAAATACCTGTATTAAATACAGTCATCGAATCCAAATCCTTTTAATGAGAAAATTGAATTGAATGCACTTAAATCTCTATAAACCAACTTAAATGTGGTGGCATTTATAAGCTGTTGGAAATAAAATTATAGCCGTACTGAGAAAGCTAGAACACGCAAACGAGACATTATTAAGAAATAAGTGCTTTATTGTGGAAATGCACGTTAGATAGGCTGGTTAACGCGTTATTTGTGGTTAACACATTAAATGAGGTGAAAACATATAAAAACCATGTCTAGATAATGTCTTGAAGAAGGAAAAAGCTAACGCGTTATCTAGAGTGGCAAAAGTGAAATATCGGAAGCAATGAACTTGACATTATGCACTTATTCACACTTTAAGTGAAGCGTCTAACACATTAATAAGGTTTCCCAATAGAATTTGGCTCCTGGAGAACTATTTCACACACTAAATGGGGTGTCTAGGATGACGAATATATGCGTGAAGTTCATTTGAGGTTTTGAACATAGCTAAGCTAGACAACAAACCAAGTAAAATGGCTTGACGAGCGTAATGGTGAATCTCTTCACTTGATTATGTAGTTCGGAGTGAAAGCGTAGAGTCAGAACTAAGTACCAAGATCTTCACTCGAATCTCTTCAACTCGATTGTTTTGTCATGAATACTACTAGGCATTAAATTCTGTAAAACAACCTTTCTTATTTTGTTTTCATCAAAATAAGGTGATCCAATAGAACGAAGAATCAAATCAATACTTACGTATTATTTTTTCCAAAAAATATCTTAATGAAAAAAGCTTAGTGTGAAGAGGCTTTTAATTTCCAAAATGTATTCATATTTTAAACATATAAAGAAAAAAGACAAGGAGAATTGACGATTCAAAAAATTGTTTCTTTAATAATTTGAATATGATAAATGTAGATCTTATTTAACATATATATTAAAGTATGATTACTTTGGTATTCTTCGTGTGATTATGTAGTTCGGAGTGTCTTCCCTACGATTCCATGCTTCAGGAGTCAATTTTGGTTAGGTCGGGATGATATTTTAAATATTTGGAGATATAAATTAAAAGAGTGCTTAAAAGATATATAACTTAGATTTAATTTTCTAAGTATGAAGAAAACATCTAATCTATTGGTGAAAATGTAGTTGATTTTTTGAGTTTATGACATAAATTAAAATTAATATTGGATTTGAATCCAACAATTTAAATTTAGTTAAAAATTATCATGATTAATCTAAATGAGAAAAAACCAAAATAAAAATCAGTTATTATACAGACCACACTTGCTATTGGTTTAAAAAATTTTCATATAAAAATAAGTATTTTGTTGAAGCAACGGATATTTGAATTATGTTATGTTAAGATCTATGTTTGAATTTAAATAGAATTTAAGTTCAAAATTGATTATTTCCAATAGATTAATATTAATGAGATAAAAATTATAATAAAAATTAGATCAATGTATGGACTAAATTTTATGTTGGTTAACAAAAATCAGTATTTTTTTAAATCAATGAATAATGATATTTGAACTATGATGTGTGAAATAAGACAAAAATAAAAATAAAAATCATATTAATATATGGAATAAATTTTATATTGTTTCACAAAAATCACTTTTAAAAATTTGATTTTATTAAATCAATGGATAATGATATTTAAACTATGCAAGGTCGTTATCTATATTTTAATTTAAATAGAATTTAGTTTCGATATTGGTTGCATGAAATATATTAATTTAAATGAGATAAAAATAATAATAGAAAGATATTAATATATCAACGGCATTTGATTGATATTCTGATCTTTATTACAGTGCTGCTTTCAGAACACATGAGTGATCCTTATTAAAAGTCACTTAATAGGTTACTTATTAAAATTTTCTAGCATTAATTTTATTTAAAGTTATTAACTTTGAGATAAAATATAATACAAATTTTAAAATTTTTAATTCAAATAAGGGTAAGATTAGAAATTTATACCATTTGCAGACAAAGTTAATGGCCTAATTAATCACTTCTCTTGGATTCTAATAAGGTGATTTAGTGCGCCTTGCAATAGAGACTAGATCACTAGAGGGTGTATAAGCAAATAATAATAATAATACTAACTATTTCATACTTATTAAAAAAGCTAAGTTGTTAAAAGTGGTTATTCCTTTTTTTTTTTTTTTTACATTGCTCATAGGTATCCTCCTATGAAAAGCAATCATGTTTGAAATATGGTCGGTCACTAAATCTCTTTTAGCAGAGGTACTCTTATGTAATGTCATTATTCCTTTTAATTGTGTAGTAAATTGATTTTTTTTTTTTCTAAAACACCAATACTCGCTTGATGAAGATCAAGTGATACAAGTTGTTACAAACTCAAGATTATCTTGAGTTTGAGAGGAGGTGTTGAAATATAATAGAGATTTATTTTGTTAATATATATTATCTATTAAGATTTAGAAAATATTTTGTATTCATTAAATATTATCATTTATTAAAATATTCATTAGCTATTACTATGCTCATATCAACAGAATGGCACTTAATTTTTCCATTCTCCTTTATTTTTCTCTAGACTTCTTTCATGGGAATTATAAATCACCACTAAAAGAAAAAAATAAAGTAGACTAAAAAAAGTGTCGTTCTCTATTGATATGATAAGTTTACAATATATAGATGAACTTAATAATAGCCATAGAATATCCTAATAAATAATAATATCTAATGAATATAAAATATTTCCTAAATCTTAATAGATAATATGTATTAACAAAATAAACTTAACAAAGATTGGTTCAATTAATAAGGAGTTGGTTCATAACCCACAAGGTCATGAGATCAAATCCTGCTATCAATGTAAAGATCTTGTTAGTGGGTAATCTGTAAATAACTCTGTAAATGTTCTTTGAGCCAGAAGGAATGCCCTAGCTTTGGTAAGCCCCTGAGACCCAATTCATCTAAACTTTTATTGGTTAAAAGAAAAAAATTATTTTTTATACGCAAACTATAAAATTCAATAATAATTCATTACATTTTTTTTTTCAAATTACCCCTTGTAAAATTAAACTTTATTTTCATGAGACAAACTTGTTTAATTAACCAAAAGGATATTTTAGTTCAATTTTTTAATTTCAGACATAATTATTAGTATTAACAAATTTAAACTATGTGACTTAGTGAAAATTTTTTCTTATATTTTAAAATGGATGTATACTTCATTCAGTTCTATTTATAAGGCTGACAAAGAAGATTTTTTTTATTCTATTTATAAAACATGCCATTGAATTTTTATCACTAGTTTCTTCTTGTAGCTCATTAAATGTCAGTGAAGGAAAATATGTTATTAACGTATTTATATTCAGTTGTGATAAGTCATTCTCGTGGACTATTTTGAAAGCAAAATTGGTTAACATTAGTTAATGATACTTGATTTTTTTGGTAGTTCGCTCTCATATTCCCTTCATTTTTTATTATATATAAGTGAAACTATCATATGTTTCATTGTTTTTTAGTATAACCTAAACTACAAAGTTCAAAAAGCATTAACTACATTTTTCTCAAATTATCCCTGATAGATAGATAGTGTTATTAAATTAGGAAAAAAAGTAAACATTAATTACTAGGACATTTTAGTCAAAATACTTCAATATAATTATTAAGATTAATTAATTTTTTTAAATTATGTGAATTGGTTGAGATTTTCTTATATTTGAAAATGAAGGCAATATCATGCAGTCTTCATAAAAATAATAATAATAATAACAACTGGGCACCTTTTGTGACTTGGTTTCCGCCAAATATATTATATGTAAATTTGTGTGTATCCTTCTCTCTCTATATATATATAAAGAGAGAGATTAACATTTCATATTTAAATCAAAATTTTATAATATAGGCTTTTTGTTTGATCTAAAGACATTTTTTTTTTGTTGGGAAAAGAAGGTTTAAGTGAATTGAGTTTGAAAGACTTACTAGGATCAAGCATGCTTTTAGGCTCATTGAGTACTTACAGTTCGTACATTTACAAAGTTTTTATAACGGAATTTGAATTCACAATCATATGATCTAAAGATGATTTTGTCAAGGTTAATTTGTCAAGAGTCCTGACTATAGCCAATTGTATAAATCATTAGATGAAAATAAGGGAGGAGAGAGAGGGAAATGGACGGATAGAGACTTAGAGAGGGGATTTGTTAATGATAATTTGAGAATAATTTTTGCAAAAATCACATCTAGGGGCCCCATGTACAAACAAATTTGCAGATATACCCAATATATTCTGAGAAAGTGTCTAAAGAATGTCAAAGTTGAAAGTGTCTTTAATCTCAATATCACTGAGAAACTGCAGTATGAGTGATATATGCCTGGAGATAATCCTTAAAATGAATTGGACCTTTTTTACAAATTTGTTCCTTCAGTGCTCCTATAGATGCAATTCTCCCATAATTTTTTTTTTAAAATTTCTTTGGCTGTAGTAGCATCTGTTACTAATATTAGTAATAATATAGTAAAATGTTAGTGTAGCGAGATTAAAGAGCCTGCATTTGTTTTGAGAAACTAGCATTGAATTAAATGGAAGTGAATTTTACATAAAATCACGCATGCTAATAAAGCTTATTAAATATATTTTACAGCCTTATATTTTCAAAATAAAATATAAATTTTCAAAAATACTTTTAATTTATCACTCCATTTGTGAAAGAATATTAAAGAGAGAAAATATATGGAAAGGTAATATTAGAAAAGTATAATTAATGAAAACTTATTTTTATTAAAGTGTCCTATATTTTGAGACATTAAATCTTTGGTGCCAAAAAATGTCTTATAATTGGGACGGAGGGAGTACCTTCTTTAATCAATGAATAAGCTCATGTTTAATTTTTAAGCAATCACCATAAAAATTAGGAATTAACAAAATTGGAATGCCTTTTAGTGGATCAGAAGACATTGATTATAAAATAATTAAGATCCTTATACTAGCGAATATAACTTTAAATTCAATTTGGCTTCACCAAATTTGATTTATTTTACATATTTTTAGCCCTCACACTTATTCTTGTACATGCTTCCGCTGGGGCATGTGGGTGCACACAAACAGCACAGCACATAAACATAAACTTCACAAACATTCCCCCACCCCCCAAGCGTAACTACCCTACACCATCCCACCCAAAACACTTAAAAAATGTACATATACATCGCAAACATTAACTTTCTAATTTTTTTGGAAAATATATTGAAATACAATTATTGGCACCTCCTAAATTGATTTATTTTAGATTTTAGATTTCACACTTGTTGATTCTTGGATCTGCCATTGAACACCATTAAGTATAAGATCCAACTCTTTGGCAAATCTCTCCATGCATTCAGGTGGCAAGCAAACAGGCACAATCCTACCTTCCTCTCCTTTACTATTGGCATGTCCAACATAAAAAATTAGTCCTTGAAATGTATCAAGTCCACTCTTTGCAGGACCAGCATACACTGCCTTACCCCAACCAAAATCAACATCTCTAAATCTAAGACTACTCAAATCCGATACCATACATGATAGCATAGTCCAAGAACATGTTGGTCCTCTAGTAGCTATCAGATCAGCCGCAGAGTGAAAATACTCATCATTCACTTCTGCTTTTGCTTTCCTCACCAACTCCAAGGCATACCCTAAAGGACTCTCACAAAGCTTACCAATAGTTGAAATTGCAGTTGGAAACACAATAGCATTGCCATAATAACCTTTAGGTAATAATGGAGGGTTTAATCCATTACGTCTAAAATGTCCATTGACGACAACCATGATGCGAACTTCTTTGTGTGGATCTACTTGTAAAGCTTTTGCTCTACAACGCCAGAGACATGCCGTGATAACCTCAAATGAGGAGGACGATTGTCTTAGGTGGTCAGGGAGTAATCTACGAAGGGAAGAAACCTCAGTTGGTCCGAAGAAAAAAGAGCGATGAACTATGTTTGTTGAAGAGTTCGTGGCATCGATCACTTCATCGTACTCATGATGTTTGCATGTAATGTTTGGCGGGTCTCTTGCATTTAGGAGTTCTCTGTGCCACACAGGCAGAATCAGAGGCTCAGTTGCACCATTTGCCATCTCAGAGAGGGTTTTCATGAATAGGAGAAAACCATATCCATCACATATAATGTGATTCACGCGAATCCCACAGATGAAACCCCCACACTTAAGTCGTGTCACCTACAATTTTTGAACATAGTGACAATCTAGTGGTAATTATCATAAATAATTTGTAAAGTTTAAAGAAAATAAAAACAAACAGTGTTAATAAAAAAAGGTAGTAAGCCTTGCATGTGTGCGTGTGTTTTACAAGCTAGCTAGTCAGAAAATAGAGTGTACTTTTTTTTCCCTAAATGGCAGATGGAGTGGTATTAGAGGAAGATCATGCACGTGAGGAGTAAGTTTGTGCAATGATTTCAAAGTGGTAGATGAAGTGGTAGCTCTGGTGGAAACGTTTGTTCATTATGTGGTTGACTACAGAGAAGTGGCTGCTTACAAGATACAGGTTGCTTGTCTTTAAATGCCAAATTGATTCTCCAATATGTGTGCTTCATAATACTGAAAATGAATCGATAAATCATTTTTTGAATGTATGACTGGTCTAAAAAATTATCATCTGATGCTATGGATTGTATGTCATTGTAGCTGATGCGACCTATCATACTTAGAGAGAAAGGAATTACAGGTTTTTCAAAATCTGCAATTGACATAACTGCAGATAAGGCTGAAATTGTTGTGAAAGTGAAAGCATGTATCTTTCAAAAAAGATTAGTTGTTGAGAAGATGTAAGATTGTATATGATCCGTATCCTTGGTTTGTATATATTGTATGTGATATAAAGGTTTTGGAAAAGAAAATCCGTAGAAGGTGGCTTAAGTTTTGTTCCATATGTTAGGGATACAAGTGCAACGAGATAGTTCATTCCAAAAGACTAACTTATTAGATGGAAGAGTCTTTTGTATTTATAAACCCCACTTCATTTATGAAACTCAATATGGGACTCATAACAATTAATACACCCCATTTGAGAATTGACATCCATGGCGGCTCTACTTTATTTACTGGGCCTCTTGCCAATTAAGACCCTTTGTTGGTAGCTATTTTCGTGACATTAACCTCTCAAAGAAAGTATTAATATTATGAGCACAAGTTTAAAGGAAAAGTATATTAAAGACACAAGTTTAAAGAGAGAGTTCATCTCAAAAAACTAGCCTATTAAATAGGAGAGCCTCTTAAATTTACAAACTTCACTTTACCTATGAGGCTTCCAATGTGGGACTCATAACACCTTTAATGTGTTCATATTTAGTTTTGGTGTAATGGAATAGAATTAACATTTTCACACAAAAAGAAAAGAAAACTAGAGTCCAAGAAACCTGTATAAGCAAGATGGGACAGTAAAGGATTTTGTCAGAACCAGGAGGAGAGTAAAGTAGATCTTCGAAACATGGAAAGGGAGGTTGAAGATCATCACCAAACTGTTGAAGAGTGATATCAGCGTCAGCTTCAATGAACATCGCTCCTTCTCCATTACATTCTACTACGATTTTGCCACCTTCACCTTCCCTGAGTCTTCCTGCAAGTGGATAGTAAAATACAAGAGCATTAGCCAATGCATCTCTAATGACTTTGGCGGGGTCTTTTCCAGCCATAGAAGACTTGTGACTAGAGAAATGTATGCATGGAATTTGGGTTCGTAAGAATTCTTGGCAATCAATGTTAGATAGAAACTTGACTTCATGAGGAGTGGGCTTCGCCGGAGATATAAGCTCCGGCTTTTGTCTTCTCACATTGAAGACGAGATCCAAAGCAGATTGTTTTGCCATAGAATATGTTCTAAAATGCAAATACAAAAACTAGTAAGGTTTAATTTGGCTTATGTTTCCTTTGGATGGAGCTCATATTTATAGATGTAATCTGCTTTTCGAATGGGTGATTCTGGATGATTGAAGTGAAAGATGTAAAATAAAACTTACGTTTAAGTACGTACTCCATTTGTGATAGTAATTATTTTAAATGATTTTAAAATAAAGTATTTAATAGGACCAAAGCTACTATTACTCAACGTAACAAAATTATAAATTTAAATATTCTTGTAATATATTTGGAAGATTAAAATATAATTTTATGGTGAATTAGTAGTAATTTGCAACAAAAAAAAGTAGTAATTGAATAAATTCTTTGCGTTAATTAAGTTTTACTATTTTAATGAAAATTAATTTGTTTCATAGACACTTTTTTATTAAATTATTATAGAATTAAAACAGATGAAAGTTACAAGTGGGAAAGATATCCAAAATATCAGAAAGCATGGTATAATCGAGTAGAATGAAGAATCGAATCAATATATAAAGAAAACAGATAAAGGAATTGACGATATCATAAAATAAAAAAAAATTTCAGTGATAACTCTGAAAAATCGTCGTTGAAAGTGAAAAATCTGCTGCCACCATAAAACATACTCTGAGAATATATTTTGGTAATTTCTACGTCAACCTCGGCTTTAATTTGCCTTAAAAATATTTTGCTAAAAATAATATGCTTTGAGAATAAAACGTGATGAATAGAGAGGGGGACCTAAGACTTGAAGATAGTGCGCGAAAGCTAACATTCAACATGGATTAATTAATAAAAATATATATTATCATAAAAATATAAAAAAATCTTGGATATGGATGAATGTATTGTGAATTAATGAGTTTTTATTTAAATTATTTTATTTTATTATGACCAATTTGATTGCGATTTAACTCACTAGTAAACTCTTAATCTCTGACCTTGACCGATTCAATAATTGATACACTTTTTATTATCTTACTTAAGACAATGTTTTCACACCAAAAAAACAATTAATGTTTTAATAATGTTTTTGAAAAATTATCATGGTGGGGACCAGGGATCGATATTATGTTTAAGGATCAATCGTGAAGTTATTTATGGTTGAGGCCCATAACAGTAAATGCAAGACATGCTCTCTCCAAAAGCAGATAGAAAACTATGATGAAGAATTAAAATAATTAAATAAATTTCTCTCAAAAAGAAGATATCACAGTAAAGTCCTAACATAGAGTATATGAAAGCTTTTCAATGCATGATTTTCAACGTAATAGCTATTATACAAGAATCATTTATGTACAAATATATATATACATATATATATATATATATATTCTAAAGTATAAATATATATTCTAAAATTTAAATTCAATTTAAAAATTAAGAATATTTTATTTTTTAGGATAAAACAAAAATGAACTGTCAAATTCTAACCTCTTTCTTCAAGACTTAGTTTTAAAGCCTAATTTCTCTATAAAAAAAAGTCACTTTTTCATGTCCAAACTCTTATAAAAATGAGTTTAAATAGGTTGTTCATCAGACTCAATCCTTATTCCTAAATCTAGATGCATAGAATCTAAGTTAATATCATATATAAATGTGGTTAGAACTATTGAAAGTGTTGTTTGTAGTGCCCTACATTTACATTTAGAAAGGAAGTAGTAGTTTTTCACAGTACTTCGTCCCTCTGATATTTTTGGGCCAAATCACTTTCACGATATTAATTAAACCATCCAAGCTTGCAATCGACAATTATCGAAGGATGACATATTACCGCTTTCCAAAGTGATCAATCTAACATGAATCTATTGAATGGGCTGGGGACCGTATGACTAATTAAGATTGCCTAAGACCTCTCACCCTACTCTACAATTTTCTAGGGCCAAATCTTTTTCATTCAAACGGTGCAGCCTTGCCATGTTCAATATGCTATTGTGGTGGAGCATTTAATTTTTGCATACAAATGATACCTAACTCTTTAGATAAATTATATGCAATTAGGTAGCCCCTATGCCTTTTGACGAACAAAAATGGGGTAGACCCTATGCCATGCCAATGCATATAGCAATCGATATTGCCTAATAAGACCTCCCACATCTTTTTTATTTCAACCATACTGTTGCGGTGCACTTATTACCGCAAGCACATGTGATGGAATATAGTTGTTATTTAATTAATTTATTTAAGATATTAAGATTATTCATTAAGAATATTTATCCATTAAAATTAAAATTTATTATTTTATTTTAATGTTAGCTTAGATTTATTTATATTTGATAAGATAAGATATTATCATTCTATCAATATCTTTTTAAATTAGATTTATTATTTATATCTAGATTTATTATTTTATTATTTTAAAACTCTATAAATAAAGTTAGAGTTTTTATTAGTATTTAACTTTGAGTATTATTAAAAAAGAGTTTTTAAGAGATTTAATATTACCCCTTATTCTTTCTCTCTTTTCATCTTCTTTCTCTTCTTTTTCTTCCCCTTTCCCCTTCCTGTTTTACAACATGATACCAGAAAATTCTTCACTTTTAAGGCAGCTCCTATGACATGCATATGTTATGTACTACTACATAATATATATTTTTTATATTGATTAAAAAGTACTTTTTATATTTAAAAAAATATTTCAAATTTTCTGTATAAGTTACATGTGTAAGAGACCGAACCCAGGTACACTTTAAGGGTCCCTCAACCCCACGTCATCCACATGTAATGTGTGGGGTGTGTAGGGTTGAGTGGTCTCCCTCTTTTTGTTAAAAATAAATTCTACCTCTTATCTCCACCTCATCCAAATAATTTAACATGGTGCATACATATATAATTATAATTTTTATATTAAATAGATATAAATTTTATACTATATTCGTTTATAAAAATATTTTTATTATTGAGACATGATGAATACTATCTCTTTATTAACAAAAAGAGTATAAATTAATATTTATATGAGTAAAATACACGAGCATATCCTCTGTTTTATTATTGGGGCTTTTGCAGGTTCATACTTTTAAATTTTTAAAAATTTAGTTTGTATTTTCTGAGTACAAGATTTTTTAAGGCCAATAGGCCAATTCATCTTTTATTTTTTTTATTACACACACATACATATCTTTTGTTTTAAAAATTTATAGTATGAACCTGTTTATCCCAAAAAAATATTTATATGTACCTTTTATAGAATCAACAGTTACAAATACAAACCTCCTATATACCTTTAAAATTTTATTTCATCTATCTAACTATTATTTGATTGTTAAGTTACTTCACTTTAAACATATATGTTTTTAAAAGTAATTCAAATTACCCAAAAGAATTTTTAATACATATACTTTTTGCTTCTTGTAATTCTTATCTTATGATTTTTCAAATTATAAAGATATTTTATGAAATATTTATTCTAAATTTTAAAAAAATTAAATTAAATTATCAGCATAATATACAATAACTTCTATTTAAATTTGCTCCCCACCCCACCCCCACCATTTCTATCTTGTCCGCCAGTAGAAAATTCTGTTTACACCGGTTTTATGCGGAGCCAGTCTAGAAAATGTTATTTCAAATCTAATTATTTTCGATAATATTACCTCTCACATTTTTTACGACAGTTCCTTTTTAACTTATGTAAAAAGTGTTTTTTGTAGTAATGATGACTTTTTTGTTGTAATCATTTAAATTGATTATTATGTCATGGCTACAATATGTGAGTATCCTTTGAGATGTTTTGTTGTCAGATTACTGGCCAGGATGTTGACTAAGTCACTCATTTAAATTGAAATATGCTCTTCTTATTTCTTTCTCTCTTATCACGGCATTTAAGAGCATAATTTGTTTTTGATGAGTTTCAAACTACATATTATGATTGTTATGAGCTGTACTAGTGCAAATATATTAGCATACATGTTGGATTCAAGTTTTTTTATACCAATTTAGATGGAAATACTTTACGTTCTGGTCATCCTGATCCGAATGGGATAGAGAAACCAGTTGTTGTCTCTCTTTGCAACTTTTATTTTTTTTGGGGTAAACTTGGCAAATTTATTTTGTTGTAAACATTAGTCTGGGGTTATTGATTTCGAATGACCCATGGGGTTTTTTTTTTTTTGGCAGAGAATGATACATCTTGTGAATGGACTTAGCTATAGGAATAAAAAGGTGGTTCGGCTACTAAAAAGAAGCTTGTTTGATCCACATATTAAGTGGACCAGTTCGTTTGCCCCATTTTTCTTCTACTCTTAATTTTCTTTTTCTGGCTTTCATAAATAAAACATTTCTCTAGTTCTCTATTACCCTAATTTATTCACTGCCCAAAGTTTTATATGAAATTACTCCTCACCTATACTTAGCCTTTTGTGTTGATAACATCTTTCTATGAGTTAGGAGTTTCTTTTTCAATTATTTTGGAAGGGTTGAGAGCTTTTGGATTTGGAGCTTGAGAATCAAATGCGACAACAAGGATATTTGCTTTTGCTCTAGTCAACAATACCTCATAAACTAGGATATTGCAAAGTTTTTAGATAACTTCAATAGTTGTGCCATTCAGACATGTGGTCCACATGACTTGTGTTTTTCACGTTAATTTTTTCCTTTTAATGTTTCTCCTTTATCCCTGGCTTTGTAAACTTTTCTTTTATTGTTAATATATTTACTTTTTTACAAAAAAAAAAGGTTTTATACTTGATCTCCCTCCCTCTTGATTTGTTATCCATTGCTTCTCTTCTTGTTTTTTCATATGAAATCTTATTATCTTTTATTCGTACTATATTTTGTTGTATTATTTTTTATTTACTTACTAGGTCAATTAATTATTTACTGTTGATTTTAAGAATCTTTAATTTCTTGGGTCATTACAATGTTGAAGAGTTTTGCATACATAATTATATATTTAAGTTATAGTATACATTTAGGTCCCATTTGGTTATTAAAAAGGAATGGCTTAGAACAAATTAAAAAAATAAAGGTAAAAATAAAATTATCAAAAGAGCTAGTGAACCACATTCATAAAAGAGAGGA